GGCATCCTTCCCGGGAGAGCTGGGTGAGTCCCAGCACCTGCATGCAAAGCAAAGCTGCCCGGTGTCCCTGGTGGGGGGGGGGGGGGGGGGGGGGGGGTAGAGAGAGAGGGGAGCAGAGGTGAGCATGCATTTTCCTGCCGTTTGCACAGACAAGGCTGAGCAGGACGGTCCCGGGAAATGTGCCATCTCAGGTGGTTTCTTGGAAGCGGAAAAGGAGTTAAGGACGTGTGTGCCAGTGCTCTCCAAGGCACAGCACCCAGGGGGATGAGGGAGAAGGCGGGAGTAGGGAGTGGAGGAGGAGGCAGGAGCCCACTCCAGGTGAAGCCCCCGAGGGTAAGACGCGTCTTTTGCTGGAAGCCAAGGGGCCAGGCTTCCCATCCCTGCCCCCGCAAGGACAGGAGGACGCCCAGCCCTGTCCGGGGGGGAGGGCGTCCGGGGGACCAGCAAGGCTCAGCCCCAAGCTCTCGGAGCCCGGTGCAGCGTGCGGCTGGGGCACACATGACCAGTGAGCCCTCAACGGCGCCCGGCCCCTCCTGCAGCAGGCTGTTGTCACCGTCTGGCCCCCTTGGCACCCGGATGTGGTGGGAACTGGTTCAGGCCAACGGGAAGAGATGTGGGTCCCCTCAAGGCCAAGGTGAGGGAGCATCCAGTGTTTCCTCCTATGTGTTCTCCTGCCCACGTCCGCTGGCAATGGCATCAGAGCATTCTAGAAGCCAAGAGGCGGCAGAGACACAGGCGAAAGGGAAACCAGGACCTGGTATCCCCCAGCCGGGAACCACAACGGGCTCAGGGTCGTCTGTAACGGCGCCCGCAGGCGGGTGTGCCCCAACGATTTTACGAGTGACTTTGTGATCGGCCAGATCATGGCCCCGAAAGACGTCTATGTCCTATTTCCTGGAACCTGTGAATCTGCCCAAGGGTCCCTCACACGGCAAAGGGGAAGTAAGGGAGACCTGGGGACAGAGAGCACCCTGGATTACCCTGTGGTTACACGAGGCCCTCACGGGTGGAAGAAGGAGGCAGAGATGTGTCTGGAGAAGCAGACACGGCGTCGCCCGCTGTGCAGGTGGAGGAGGGGCCGTGAGCTGGGGAATCCGCACAGCTTCCCGAAGCCGGAAAGGGCCAGGAAGAGATTCTCCCCTGGAGCCACCAGAGGGAACGCAGCCCTGCCCACTCCTTGCTTTCAGGCCAGGGAGACCCACGTTGGACTCCTGGCCTCCAGGCTGCAAGGCGGTACGTGTGTGCCGTCTGGAGACATAAGTCGGTGGTCGTCCCCGAACGGCAGCAGCAGGAACGAGGTCAGACAGACCTCTTCCAAAATACGCCACCGCCGTGGTGGGTCATGAGAACAGGGAGAGGTCGGGCACCTGCTGGGCCGACCCAGGGGCCAGCGGGGTGGGAGATAACGCTCGCTGACCCTCCCACCCCGCGGCCCCGTTCCTGCTCGCCCCTGCCCCACGAACCAGGGTCCCCAAAGCCCGGAGTAATGCGAGTGGAGGCTTTCTGGGTGGGAGGAGAGCCACAGCTCTGGGGACAGAAGGAACCCAGAGACCACCCGCAACGGGGCCCGGCCCCCCGACGTGGCGAGTGAGGAAGAGAGGAGCCCTGGGAACACGGCTGTCGCTGGAGAGTCGATCGGGGCCTGGTCTCCTGCGCCCCCGCGGCAACTCCAGGAGAGGGGTCTGTGACTTCCATTGTCTCTGTTAATAAAGATACTAGGAGCTACTTTAGAAGCCGTTCCGCAGCTCGGAAAGGACATCTAGGGTCCACGCGGCCACCACTTAGCTGTACGATGGGGCTGCACAGGATGACCACGCAGAGAGCACATTCACAGAGACACAAGGAGAATGGCACACCCTGGAGTTGTGCAGTGTGCAACCTGCACAGCCTTGCATGGCAACCCTGGCCGGCTCCTTGATATCCATCCCACCAACATCCTGCTGCGGGAAGACCTCGTTTTTACCACGAACTACTCGCAGCTGGGGCGGCTACGCTTTGGGAAGGTTCTGAACCTTGCACAGCCTCCACGGCTGGGAAGCGCAGCGCTGACTCGGAAACCTGGACCTGGGTCTCGGACAACAAGCCACATCCTCGCTCATCGGCAGATCCTGCTGGTTCTCTCCCAAGGAGGCCGCGGCGGCACAATGATAATTGTTCTGGAATGCCTGTTCCCGTCCGTTCGTGCTGAACTGGGAGCAGCCTCTCGCTGGGGTTTATACCACACGCAGACGGCACAGCCTGGGCTACAGGCTGAACAGTCTCGGGCGGAGCTGAGCCTGGGGGCTCGTCACCCTCCGAGGAAGGCTGCCTCATGGCCGGGTTTCGGCTGTGCCCTTCTCCCACCGGCTGGAGACTCCTTGCCTGCCTGAGGAATCCTGGCCTGAGGTCCCCACTTCCCTTGCAGCCCCACAGCTAAACTCGCGACAGTCAGCAAGTGACCACATCCTGGGGGTCACTCGGAAGCATGCAGCATCCGCCTCTGGGAGAGAACACAGCAGGGTGGCCACCCGTGTCCCTGGGGGCCCTCAGCCCAGTCACCTGGCACCAGGGTTCCTGCGGTGACAGCCTCCTCTCCTGGCACACACTGCTGGTTGCAGGGAGCTGAGGGTCAGAAACGGGCTGCGATGGGTAGATACCCCTCAAGGCAATAGATGCACGCCTCTGACCTGCCCGTAGCCGCCCAGGCCTTCTGGGAAAGGCCCCTGCCCCAGGGAGCACTGGGGGGAAGCCACCATGAGGGGGCAGGGACAGACAGTTGGGGGACAGGGGTTCAGAGCTCTGGAGAGAGGAGGTGGTGTGTGAGTATGTGTGTGTGTGTGTGTGCACAGGGATGTGTATTCTGTACGTGTGTGTCTGCGACGCGTGCTTACATGCTCGTGTAACAGAGGCCCGAGGCCCGTGGGTGCGCACGGGTCTGTACGCACGTGCCTGTGTGCGGTCCCTTGTGTGCGCCGTAGTTGCTGGGTCTGGGTCCGCTCCTGTGCGTCCCTGCCCCCGTATCCAGGTGTCTGCACGCGCTCACCCCCGGTGCCTGCCCGCCATCCAGCTGGCAGTGCACAGCTGGACCCGGGGGCTGTGCCTGCGCGCCCGATGAGAGGTGGCAGGTGCGTAATAAACCATTAGTCACTGTCACGTTTCTGAGCAGCCTCAGCAGCCTCCCGGGGCGGGGCGCTCCTGGCAGGTCTCTGGCTGTGAAGCTGCCCACCCCCTTCCGGGCAGGGCTGCAGCCTGACAGGAGCAGCTGGCAGACGGGGGCCTTGGGCCCCTGCCCTGCCCCAGGCGGCCCAAGGCCCGGGTCTGGCCCTGTGTGCGCCCGCGGGGGGAGGGGAGAGTGCCCAAGGGTCAAGTTTTGCCGGATATTACCCAGAACCGAGGCGGGATTGGGGTGGAGGGGGCAGGGCTGGGAAGCAGCCTCCAGGATGCTCCACGCTGCCTGGAAGAGGCGCGGCAGGTGACCGGGGCGCTGACACCAGCCCACATGTGCCAGCACTCGGGGCCAGACCTGCACTGAACGCTCTTCCATCCCAGTGGATACTCACGTCTGCCCTTGTAAGCCAGCCTCCCCCGCCTCCCCCAATTAGCCTTCGTTCCCATTTCTCGGATGAGGAAGAACAGGCACGGAGCAGGAGACACTGGTCCAGGGCTCTGAGCGCCCGGGCGCCAGGGGGCGTGGCTCCCCGTAGCACCCCGCCCACCACCTGCGTGCCCCGCCCACCGCCCGCGTGCCCCTCTGCCAGGGTCTGGGAATCCCTCAGAGGGCTGCGTGGCCCGTGAACCCCTCGTCTCCCGGCTGTGCCCCTTGCCCAGAGCACATCACGGAGAGAAAGGGGTGGGCACTGGGGTTGTCCTGGAGGCGGATGTCCCCACCACGCACTCCGCACATCCACCAGCCCGTCTCCTCCCGCCCTGGCCCGCTAACAAGCGCTTTCAGCGTGGGCTCACACTGGGGGCTGGCACGGGTCTTAGGATTCAGTCCTCTCTGGGCAGTGACAGGCGGGACACATACAGGGACCCCCTCGGAGGGCTCTTGCGGACAGAAATACGGCCTCAGGACCTGCTCTTAGGACCCTCCCCAGATAAGAACGCAGGCGCCCACATACCCCTACATCCAGCCAAACGGCCTGCCTGGGATCCACTCACTGCCCCCGGCCCGGGTCCCGCAGGCCCCACAGCGCAGCCCTCCGGGCTCTACACTCACAGGCCCATCATCCAAGGAGGGACAGTCGACAGGGAAAGGGCCGAGATGCGCGAGCAGGCGGGGTCTCCGCGGCTGGTGCGGTGGGAGCGAGATGGGCACGACGGGATCGGTGGGCAGCGTCCTCCCCCAGCCACACGCCCTGGTTCCCCCTGGCCCAGCTGAGGCTAACTCGGGAGACACATGTGTGCCAGGCCCCGGCGCCTGCGTATCCATGATGGAAAAGCCCAGAAACCGTCCCTGCACCACTGGCGGAGAGAGGGCGCACACGGGGTCGCGCGCAGGACGCCGGAGCAGCACAGGGCGGCGACCACACAGAGGGACCCGCGGAATCTGGGAAGGGCAGCCGGCCGAGAGGCGGCCCAAACCGCCAGGAAACCATCATCATGGTTTGGGCAAACACAGGTGTGCGCTTAGAGACGCGCCCGCGGGTGGTCCCCTGGGGGCGGGGCCCGTCCAGGCGGAGGGCGTGTCTTGGCGGGTGGGCGGTGGGTGCTGGCGCCCCATTCGGGGTGGTTTAAAGACGAACGGGTGACTACTGTGGCGTCACGGATAATAAATACAACAAACAGGGGCCGTCTGTGAATATCCAGGATGAGAGAGTCAGGAAGCAAGGGATTCTGATCAAACCACCATGCGAGGAGCGTGAACGAGAAAATCCCAACGCGAGTTAACGGAGACCGGAGCCATGCGGAGACCGTGGGGCGGAGGTCTGTGCCCGAGCTCCGTGTTGGGAGCCGCCCTCCCTGCCGGGGACGGCATGAGCCGCGCCGGCACCCGGGGACGGAAAAGAGCCCGCGTCTACCTGCGCCTGCGGGGTCTGCTCCGGCCCCGTCCAAGCCGCTCTGCTGACAGCGGGCGGGCCCCGGCTCCTGGGCTGTCCTGGGGCCTCTGGGCGTGCTCTCTGCGGGGGCGCCTGGCCGGGGCTCAGGCTCCCTGGCTGGGGGGTGGACGGCTGTCGACGCCTCCAGAGATGCAGAGGTGACCTGGAAGGACAGGAGGGGACATGGTGAGTCTTGGGCACACTTGCCCAGAGGTGCCCAGTGGGTGGGCCCCCGGAAGCCACTCTTGCCCCCGCGCCCCCCCGATGGCCCGGCTTGGCCATCAAGGACTCAGCTGGGCAGGCTCAGGGCGGCACAGGGCCGGTCCCCAGCAAAACCAGTGGGAAGACTGCCCAGTGAACCCTGCCCGAGGCCACCGGGCTGGCCGCTGGGTACTGGGGTCGCACCCACTGGCCCCGTTGCTCCCTGAGCCCCCTCAGCTCCTGCCAGGAGTTGACAATAACTACGTGCTACTTAATTATAACCGTAACAATTAACTTAGCTAACCTTCAGTCCGCTCTGCAGGGGGTCAGCCCATCCCCCACCCCTGTGTCTTCGTTCTCAAAAATTTTTTTTAATTTATTTTTGAGACAGAGAGAGAGCATGAGCAGGGGAGGGGCAGAGAGAGAGGGAGACCCAGAATCCGAGGCAGGCTCCAGGCTCCGAGCTGTCGGCACGGAGCCCGACGCGGGGCTCGAACTCACGGACCGCGAGATCGTGACCTGAGCCGAAGTCGGACGCTCCACCGATGGAGCCCCCCAGGCGTCCCTTGTTTTCTTTTTTTTTAAGTTTATTTATTCGAGAGAGAGAGAAAACGCGTACGCGGGGGAGGGGCAAAGATAGAGAGAAAGAATCCCAAGCAGGCTCGGAGCTGTCAGCACAGAGCGCCATGAGGGACTCGAACTCACGAACTGGTGAGATCGCGACCTGAGCGGAAAATGAGAGGGGGGCGCTTTAACCCCGGGGCCCCCCGGGCGTCCTTTTTTTTTTTTTTCCCTGTGGTAAAATACATCTCACGTAAAATTTACCATCTTGACCATTTTTAAGTGTACTGCTCACCACGGGCAACAGTCACCTCCACCCATTTCCAGAACGTTCTCGCCCAAACAGACACTTCGTACCTGGTGTGCTCTAAGTCTCCAGACCCTCCGACACCCACCATCCCGCTTTCTGTCTCTCTGACCGTGACTATGCGGGTTGCCTCACCCTCTCCCACATCTGGGGAAACTGAGGCTCAGAGAGGGGCGCGAAGGAGCCTGAGGCCTCAGAGCCGCTAGACTCGGAGGTGGGATCGACCCAACCCACAGGACTTCAACACCTCCAACCTGGGGGAGCCAGGCCCTGCCCCGAGTGCCTGGGGGCCAGTCCCTGCCACTGGCGACCCCCCACTTCCCACCTCTGAGCCCCAGGGCCGGTATGGCTGTCGGAAAACAACTCCTTGTTGATCCAGTTAGGGATTAATGCCACGAAACCAAGGTGCCCTAAGAGAGATGGATGGCCCAGAATCCCCCAGGCGAGCCGGGGCCCCGCCAGCCCTCCCTGCAAGCGGCGATACGTTTACCGTTTGTTTCCGGGCATGCTTTAATTTATGGGGTCCATATGGTGACACGGCCCAGACCACAGCCCCCGCAAATCCCACGGGCGTGCTGGAGGCTTAGGCTGGGGCCAGGAGGAGGTGGCACCCCAGCCCAGCACACTTCCTTCGCTGGCTCGCTCGCTCAGGGGCCGGGGGCCCATCAGCATGGCAGGGACCCCGGAGCCACACCCGTACCCCGTCTTGTCGGGTTTCAGCTGCTCTTACAGTCCAGGCGCAGGCCGCTGGGGCCACCGTTAGTCACAGGATGGCTTGTCCAGCCTGGCCAAACCGGGCCGCGTTCTTGAAAGCCCCCCGGGGTGGGCTGGCGGGCAGTGGAGGAGGGCGGTGGGGGGCCCTGGCTCTGACCCCTGCCCACGGGCTCGTGGAAGGGAAATAGGGGAGAGGTCCCCCTCCTGCTTCTCCTCCTGGAGCCTGGGGACCAGGGTCCTGCTGGGGGAAGGCAGCCCGGGGCTGCCCCTGGAGGGCAAGGGTGGGTCCCAGAAGGGGGAGCTGTGGGCAGGGGAACCCCACTTACTGAGCACCTATGTGTCATGCTTAATCCTCCCAAAAGCCCTCTCACAAACCGGGACACAGAGGCATGAAGAGACAAAGTGGCCTGGGCTCCTACCTGTAACTGGAGGCATCAGGATGTGAACCCAAGCAGTTGGGAGAAGATTCAGCTGTCACACACCAACTGGGGGACATGGCTTTTCAGCAGAGATGGACAGGCGACAAAAGAGGCTTTGCCTGGGCAAGAGGGGTGCGGATGACAAGCACTGCGGGACCTAGAAGCCCTCCCGGGGGCTGGGGAAATCCAGGCAGGCTTCCTGGAGCAGGTGGAGTTTGAACAAAGCCTTCAAAGGGAGCAGGCTTTGAAGGGGGGGGGGAGGGCAGGGATGAGACATTCGAACTCATCCCTGAGGGACCAGGAGAGTGACGTGTGAACAAGGTACTGGGTAGCAGAGACTGGAAGAGGATGGCAACGGTCTCGGGGCCACGGGCATCACATGGAGGGGACAGAGCTCCATCTTGCCAGGTCTGATTCTTCAAGAGGAGGCTGTGAATCTACTTTTAAGAGCCACACTCTCATGATTATTCAGCGTTGGCAACTAGTCCAAAACGTGTTACAACACCGTGTGAACCCTCAGATGCTGCTGGTAGGATTGTAAAATGGGGCAGCTGCTCTGGAGACTGGGCCGGCAGCTCCTTCCGAGGTCACACGGAGCGTTAGCACGTGACCCAGCGGCTCCTCTCCCGGGTAGGTATCCAAGAGAACCCCACACCCACGTTCACGCAAACACTTGTACGTGGGAGCTCGTAGCAGCCCAGTGTCCCCCAGCAAAGTGAATTCTGCCAACAGCCTGAGTGAACCTGTTGAGTCTCCGGATGAGCACGCGGCCGGCCGTTGCCTCCGCTGGCAGCCCGTGAGGCCCCGAGCGCAGGACCCGGCCACGTCGTGTTACAATAAATGTGTTGCTAAAAGCTGCTAAAACTTGTTACGCAGCAGCTGTGCATAACTAACTGATACAACATGTCAAGTTCTAGAACAGTGCCCGGCCCAGACAGAAATGTTCCTTGGCACCACGGTGTGCCAGAAGCATGAGGGGCCCGGAGGCCAGTCCCCCCTCCGGGCTAGTAAAAGGATTTCACCCCCTTTCTCCGTGCTCAGCAGCAGCTGCCCGTGACTCCTGGCGGGGCCCAGTCAGTATAACGGACGGACAAGGCTGCCGGGTGCGTGTGGTCCTGTGAATGCGGATTATCTCGTGTTGGCTCACGTTAGGTGGAGGCCAAGGTTCCAGCCAGACCATCGAGCGGAGGTGAAGTCCCCTTTCCTCAGGTTTCAAAGCCGAACGGATGACAATTCTTGACTAAACAAAAGCATCTGAACCCACACGTTCACAGTGCCCTCTCTACACAGCCAAGAGTTCCAACCCCAGGGCCTGTCTCCATTTAAAGGACTATTAGCACGGGGCCTGGGGCACACCCTGTTCCCTGCCTGGGGGCCCTGGAAATCAGCAGTATCTCGGAGCAGTCGGCGGGGGGTGGGGGGGGTGGATTGTTCTAAAAAATAATCTTATTGTGGGGCGCCCGGGTGGCTTAGTCGGTTGAACGTCCTACTTTGGCTCAGGTCATGATCTCACGATCCGTGAGTCCGAGCCCCGCGTCGGGCTCTGTGCTGACAGCTCGGAGCCTGGAGCCTGCTTCAGATTCTGTGTCTCCTCCTCTCTCTGCCTCTCCCCTGCTCACACACTCTCTCTCAAATATAAATAAACGTTAAAAAAATTTAAAAACCGTCTTGCTGAGCTATTCACGTAACTACACGGTTCACCCACTTAAAGCCTACAATTCAGGGGCTTCTAACACACTCAGAGTCGCACAGCCACCGCCAGAATCCTTCTCAGAACATTCTCGTCACCCCAAACGGCGGCCCGACCCGCTGACAGTCACCTGTCGTCCCTCCCCAGCCCTGGCGGCCACGGTCGCCTTTCTGTCTCCGCAGATTTGCCTGTTCTGACGTTTGCCATTCATATGCCACCCTCCGGCGTGTGGCCCCTTCGCTCGGCAACGCGTCCCGGACGCATCCGTGTTGTAGCCCGCACGGCACGTATGTTTGAAAACCGGGGAAGTTCCAGCTTGAGGGATGAGCAGCCCAGAGGCTGGGCAGGACACCAGGATTTCTCCCTCCGGCAGCCTCTGTGGCAGAGCCCGCATCTGCCTCCCTCCCGGGGGGCCCAGCCGGACCCCCACCTCTCAGTCTCCCCGCGTGGGTGCACGCTGGGTCCCGGCCACCCTCCCCGGCTGGGAGATCTCAGCAAAGTGACTTAGCCTCGCCAGGCTTCAGTCCCGTCTCCCATAAAGCGGGCGTGATCGCAGTGAGCGTCTACTGCCCAAAGGGACAGTGGGGAGAATCGGATGCTAAAGGTAGGCAGCACGTAGTAGGTGCTCAAGAAATGGCAGCTGGTCTCATGACCTGCAAACAGAAGCATCAGGAGCAAGAGGAAAAGGGGTGCGGCGGCCGGCGGACCCCACGAAGCCCGAGGGCCGTGTGCCGGGGAAGGCTTTGGTGCCTTGGAGGGCCCGCCTGGCCTCTGGGTGGTTTGGGCCGCAGCCAGGAGGGCTACCTTCCAGGGCCCCCTTGCCTGCTGCCGGCCTGGAGCCCCGACGCAATCGAGGGGTCCCTGCAGTCACTGGGGCAGGGGTCCCTCCGCTTTCCACCACGACCCTGAATCTTAGTTTTCTTCCAAGTCGGCTCAGGAGGCACTCCAGGAAGCCAGGTGTGCCGGCCTCAAATGAAGCAGATGTGGGACTGAGCTGCTTAGCTGCTGCCATACGTAAGGGTGACAGGCAATCATGACTGCTCTGAGCTCAGGTGACACTTCTGGAAAATGGGCGAGTGATGCCTACCCTAGATTTACTGAGCACCTGCTATACGCCAGGGGCCCACCAAGCGCCTGACATCCACAGCCCGTTGAATCCTGCCAACAGCCCTACCTTAACTCCCACCTTGTAGAGGAGGCAACTGAGGCACAGAGAGGTCAAGACAGTTGCCCCAGGTCCCCCAGCTGGTCACAGTGACAGCTGAGAATCA